CGCCGTTAAAAAAAGTTTTTATTTCTCTGAAGTGTCATTCCCAATGTGGCCTTTAGAGGGCAGGGGTTTCCCTCCCTCCGCTCGGCTCGCTCGCAGCGCCTGACGAGGGTCGAGGCTCCCTCCCCTCCTGTGTGTGCGCGCGCCAACGCGCGCCATTTTTGCGACAGCCGTCCAGTGGCCTCGGGCGGTGGCAGTGTGGTGAGGAGGAGGCTCAGTCCCGGGCCAAGCGGCTCAGCCGTCGGAAGCTCCTCAAAAGAACGGCAGAGGAGGAGGAGGAGGCGGCAGGGGTAACGCTTCATGGTTTTACAGCCCTCTTTTTTTTTTTTTACAGCTCAGGTGCTCCGAGCCCCGCCCCCCGTCAATGGTGTGCCGCTTTACCCATCTTAAAATCTGGTCACTTTATTCAAAACCAAATTTCAGCATTGTGGCCATTTGGTAAGATAGGTCAGGAAAAGAGAGATCTAGGCAGAACCATCCAATGGAGTTTCACATAGAGGATGGGAGATTTAACACAGCGCTTCCCCTTCTCCAGGACCTGCCCCTTAGCCACTAAATGACCCCAATTCTACCTCCTACTTTCCCATTCCTCCACCAAGATGGCACTCACTTCTCTGATATTCAGCCCAATATTCTTTTGCATCCATTTCAGCTCTCTTCTCTGAACAGAACAGCAGCTTTGAGACTCCGATGTCAGTCGAAACCTCCTTTTCTGTTCTAGGTTTGGTGTCTTGAAACAGAAGCTCTGGGTTAGACAACAGCCGCTCTGGAAAAAGAAAAATCCCAGGTAGCACATGATGGATAGAACCTATCAAGACTTAGAAGTCTGACACGCTTGTATTCTATACGGCGAGACAAGATTATATTGTAGAAGGGTTGTTACATCATGTATTATTTTTCTTTTATTTAGGTCTGGAACACTAGAGCAGGGGTCTCCAACATTGGCAACTTTTAAGACTTGTGGACTTCAACTCCCAGAATTCCTCAGCCAGAGGAACTCTGGGAGTTGATTTCCACAAGTCTTAAAGTTGCCAAGGTTGGAGATCCCTACACTAGAGTGCAGGCTGAAGCCTGTGGATTTTCTCCTTACATGGTCTTTAGCAACTCCATGTCTCATTTACTTGTAATGCATACAGAGGCACCTACCGTATTTTTCAGACTATAAGATGCATCGGTGTATAAGACGTACCAAGATTTTGAAGAGGTAAGTAAGAAAAAAAAGGTTTTGTCCTCTCCAGTCCCCAGGAGCACTCTGCAGGCTTCAGCAGGGCTGGGGGAAAGGGAAAATGCCCCCGTTTTTGTGAAAAATGACCCATTTTTCACAAAAATGGGATGCGGGGGAGGGACTTCGGGAGGCCAAAAATGGCTGTATTCAGTGTATAAGATGCAGCAACATTTCCACTCTCTTTTAGGAGGGAAAAGGTGCATCTTATACTCCAAAAATATGGTATGTCATTCCCCAAAGCACTCACATGCTCTTCCGCTATGCAAAAGGACAAGGGAGATGCTAGCTAGCAATCATTAGGCAATCAGAGCCCTCAAATCTCCTATTGTATATTTCTAAGAAGGAATGATGCATTCATACATATTGCGCAAGCAGCCCAGCCCTTTGAAATAGAATTAGTTGAACAACTTGGAGTACTTGTACATGCACAAGCCTTTCCTTATTTTCAGCCAACTGCCTTTCTTACTATAGATTTTTCCTTTGATTAGCATCCCCAACCTGGAGATAAGCAGAAGCGCCAGCAGCATTCTGTGCATCTTCTATCAAAAGATCTGACACAGAGTGTTGGGCAAAGCAAAGCTATTTCCTCTCCCTCAAGCCCACAACCACACACGGCTCCTCTTTCATTACCTGTTTCTTGTAAAAGTTGCTGAATCTCTTTCCGAGTTTCCTGCAGACTCTGCAGCACCTCTTGGCTCTGTTTGGCTGGGTCCTTGTAGGTCCAAATAAAATAAGCTAGTATAGCTATGCACAGTCCAGCAAAGGTCCGGCGGGTCAGGCCGACCCAGAAGGAGATGCTTTCCTAAGAGGAAGAAAGGTAGATAAATCAGTTTGACTGTCCCCATTCGGTCACTAAGAGATGGGCAACCACGGGGCTTAGGTACACTCCCTTAAACTTCAACATAGAAACCCTACCTTCTCTTACTTCAGACTGGGGCATGGAGAATTCTCATATCTGATTATGAACAGCGGCAAAGGGTAATTCCCCCATGGGCTTAAATTGAAAATGCAAAGATATGATGATGAAGTTATTGAATTTCCTGGTAGCTACTAAGTCAGGTTGTTTTAAAACAAATTAATTTGATGAGGACAACAGATGTGCCATGATGACTTTCAGCCACCATAGCCAGAGCCGAGGTGGCGCAGTGGTTAGAGTACAGTACTGCAGGCCACTTCAGCTGACTGCTAACTGCAGTTCGGCGGTTCAAATCTCACCGGCTCAAGGTTGACTCAGCCTTTACCCATCCTTCCGAGGTGGGTAAAATGAGGACCCAG